TTAATGCATTTTATTCGTAATTCTGGTCTGTGACCATAATAAAATATTGATTGTATAAACTCATGAAGGATTGTGATATTTCAAGTAAAACAAAAGTTGGAATGGCTAATCACTGGTCTTCCCTGTTACGATGTATGGATATGTGGGATGCCAAAAATCAAGGAATCAGGTAGCACCTTTTCTGGTTAACAAATTTTATTAAAAGGCATATGCTTTCACAAGCTGCAGCTCATCTCATCAGATGCATAGACACAAGAACAAGAGAAAAAAGATTGACTCTTTTGAACCATGATGCCAGAGGAAGATATTTTGCACTCTTTGGACAGCCAAGAAGACTAGCCATTTATTACTAGAGAAAATCAAGCTTGAATCCTCATTGGAAGCAAGGATTATGAAACCAGAACTCTAATATTTTGGACACTTCATGTAGGGTAATGGATCTAGGGAAAACATAATAATGCTGACCAAGGTTCTCCAAGGAGAAGAAGAGTCCAACAGCGCATGGGGTGGCTAGATGGAATACTGGAAGCCATAGGAATGCACCTGCAAGAACTGTAATACAGCAAGAGATAGGACAGTTTGGAAAATGCCCGTTGAGTCACCAGGAGTTGGCTATGGATTTATGGAATAAAATATAACAGTGGGCATCAGGGCGAGATCATTAGTGGGCTTGAAATCAAGTGTAAACCATTAATTGATGATAGAAAGTTCTTTTTCTCCATGTTATTTGTGCCAGGATTGGATTTAACTGATGGGTTCAATGAGGCCAATTAATTAAGGCTGAATTATAATAAAAAGGGAATTCTGAGGGTAGTTGGATCCTAAATCAACAGGGGCAAATACTACTATATTTTTTCCTCAAACTGCACTTACCTGCATTTTAAAATTCAGCTGTAAAGATCTGTCATATACAGTAACTGGCACTAAAAGTAGAAAGTCCTTTCTTGCTTGCTTGCTTGCTTTTGTAGGACATGTTATATTTATATTTAAGTTAAATTTCTTGGGGGTAAAAAAAGAAAAAGATGATATTAATTGATTTTAGGATAAGTAGGATAAGATAGGATAAGAAGTTACTGATTTAAAGTATGAAACATATTTTAGAGTAAAAAATGTACAAGCTGGTGCATTGGATAGCATGAGAGCTTGCTAGCAAAAGCTATTAGACTATGAATTATCATAATGGGTAATACTTGGATGAATGAATGAAATTGTCTTCACATTGATTTAATAAAGGCAGAATACCAGGGTTGCAGAGAAGGATACACGGTAACATGCTTTTTCACCTGCCAAAATTATTTATAAAAATGTCTTAATGCATTATGAGGATTAAAAAAAAATATCCTGTAGCATAAAGACTTATGTTACAGGAATACCTAAAATTAAAATGAAGCACATTACTTAATCAGCAGTAAAATTAAAACCTCACAATATTAGATTGTTTGATCCTTTTGTGGAGCCACTGATTGCCTTTCATATTTCTTGCCTTAAATAGCAGACACAAACATTGTGGCTGGGTACTGCCTGTTAAGACAGGGATTCACTGCTGTTACATTTCCTGTATCATAGACTGAAGTGGAAGTCTACTGTTAATTATCAAACATTAAAAATGTATGATAAAAATGTGATGTATAAGTACACTCTCTCTGTACCTTGGCATTTGTATTTCCAGCAGAATACAGGTGATAATTCTCCATCTCTATGTCTTTGTTTCAATATGGATTGTTTTCTTTTGTCTCATCCACATATAATTATTATTTTGCATCTCTGGAAACTGCAGTTGCTGTTTATTGAGATACATGGAATCAAAGTTTACATCCACATATAATTATTATTTTGCATCTCTGGAAACTGCAGTTGCTGTTTATTGAGATACATGGAATCAAAGTTTACATCCACATATAATTATTATTTTGCATCTCTGGAAACTGCAGTTGCTGTTTATTGAGATACATGGAATCAAAGTTTACTTGATTCAAAATATATTCAGAACACCTCTATGTTCTTGGAGGGATAAGACAGCAGCCTTTTTCTTTTCAAGAGAGCTAGTGTTTAAATGACATTGCTGCACATTATTTTAAATTCCCAGGAAAATCAGTATACTTATAGGTTATTTATTTATTTGATTTATATAGCCGCCCATCTCATATACGTGACTCTGGGTGGCTTACAATAAAATAGATAAAAATGCATAGCAGCCAAACATCATAAAATAGCCATTAACAAAGCCACAAAACAGGCTCTATCACACTTCCGGGGGCCAAGGCCCTAGCACAAAACTAAATTTTTAGGGCCTTGTGAAAGGCCAGCAGGGTCAGGGCTAACCTAATTCCAGGTGGAATGGTGTTCCACAGGGCAGGCACCATGGCAGAAAAGGCCCTCCTCCTTGGCCCTGCCAGCCGACGTTCCTTAGCCAACAGCGCTGGGAGCATGCTGCCCCTGCCAAAATGGATGGGATGAGTAGAAACAATTGGGGAAAGATGGTCCCATAAGTATCCTAGTCCCAAGCTATGAAGGGCTTTAAAGGTAACTATCAGAACATTGAATTGCACCCAGAAGCACACTGGAAGCCAATGTAGCTCATGGAGCAATAGTGTCACATACGCCAAGAAACTGACACCATTAATTGCCTGCACTGCTGCATTCTGCATGAGCTTCTGAATGCTCTTCAAGGGCAGCCCCATGTAGACCTTGTTACAATATTCCAATCTGGCGGTCACAAGGCCATGAGTGACCGTGAGGAGGGCCCCCTGGTCCAGGAATGGATGCAACTGACACACAACACAAAGCTGTGCAAAGCCTCCCCCTAGCTACAGCTGCCACCTGCTCCTTGAGCAAGAGCCATGAGTTCAGGAGGACCCACAGATTGCACACTGGGTCTGTTTGGGGCAGTGGCACCCCATCCAGAACCAAAGGTGGAGGTTCCCTGCAACAGGAGGTCCAAAGACCCAGAGCCATTCAGTTTTGCTTGGGTTGAGCTGAAGCCTGTTGCGCCCCATCCAGGCCCTCAGAGCCTCCAGGCACTGATACAGAACCTCCATGGCATCACTCATGCAGTAGTTAGTCTCATGAAACAAATTTAGCTTGGAAGGTGCTTCTATTTATGAAGTTTACAGTTCCAGTTCTATGCATACTTATTGATATAGGAATAAGCCTCATTCACAATAGTGAAACATACTTTAATTTTTCTTCCAAGGAAACAGAGCAGCAGCATAATGTCTTTTTGTATGTATATAAGTATGTATGTATTTATTTTATCAAATTTAGTATGGCCGCCTACTCCAGAAGACTCTGAGCAGCTTAAAATATCATCTATAAGGATAGAGGTCTACCTTCTATCTGCAATAAAATATGTATCATGTGTCAGTTTGAATTATTCCCTACAATGTGAATACTGTTTGGATTCTGGAGAATTTTTAAAAATCTGTACAGTATTATCTGTCAAATGAATGATATCAACACCTGTATTTTGATCTTCTTCCCACAATCATATAATTTATAGATCATACTGCAAGAACCTATGCTTGGGTTATATTTAATATCAGCACACTTAAGCTTTCTGATTAACTAAACCAGCCTACTTTGTAAATAACAGAAATTACAGAATGAGGATATTCTGTAATTGCTTTGATTAGAAAAGTGCACAGACTCTAACATGCTAAAAATGGTAGACTATAAGCTTTACTCATTTGGAATGAGTAAATTTCACTTGTAGAATATGGCATAATGAATGTGAGCAAAATGAGGAGAATTTTGTCAGTTCAGAAGCTAAGGAGACTTGATTATTCTTGGTTATTTTAGCATCAACATTTACACTGATTATTCCTAATATAAAATTACATCTCCTGTCAATCACCAATCCTATACTTATAGTGTTGATTTCCTGTTTATTGGTTGTTCCCAGAGATTACATTTAAAAAATAAGCTCAGTTATATATTCTGAAAGTCCAAATCTTGCATGCAAGGAGACAAGATAAACTTGCTGTGCAACTTCACCTCCCTAACTGGCATCTAATCCTGGGAAAGCAGCATAAGCCTCCACCCTTCCAGATTGCTTACATGGGACAATACTCTACCTTTACTCTATAAGAAAAAGAAAGCAACGTGGAGATAAGACTGGGAAAAGATTTTCCACAGTCAAGTAGCAGTGATACAAAAATTTAGCAGTTGTCTTCCCCCCAGTATTTGTTTTCTTCTGATTTTAGTCTCTCCCATCTCTCCCATGGCTGTTTTTCTTTAAAGGATAACAAAACTGAAACAAAGACTTATGCAACTACTGGTCACATATCATTTGGCTGTATCTTGAACCTTTAGAAATTTGCACTTGCTATTATCTGTCCTGTCTCTGTTGACAATCACTGCTAGCCATCTGACTTCCTGATTTTGAATTCCCTTGCAAATGACTGTAAATCCCCAGCTGAACAACTTTCTCTTCTTAACTCTGCCAATTTATATGGGTTTAAGAGAGAACTGGACACATTAATGGAGAACTGAGCTATCAGTGGATATGGCTTCCAGAGTAACAGGCCACATACCTTAAACACCAGTTGCTGTAGGAAATAGCAATCTATCAACCATTACTCTATGCTTGCTAACTTCCTGAATGGACCTGGTTGGCCACTGTGGAACAGGGTATGCTGAATTAGATTGGTGAATATATGTGCGTTTATGAACAAATACATGTACAGCTGCCTTATTTGAGGCTTCCTCCGCACGTATTCTCTTTAAAAGAGACTCCATCTGAACATCATCTACTGCATTTCTTTTTCTGCCTGAATCACCGATCCAGGTTCAAGGCCAGGTTGCTCCACCTGTTCAGACCTGAGCAAAATGCTCTCCTCCCTCTAATTTGGATCGGCCAATCCTGTCTCTGTTGCTGAGGCTTGGCTGTTTAACAGGCGTTGCTCTGGAGACGAACACTCAAAAACAGACTGACGTCAATGTGTAGCATCCACGGGAATGAATCTCGCAACGTCATCATTCTTTTGCCCTTCCCCTTCAGCTATCACTGGTAACGCAGACTGCGGCGTCAATCGCGGAGGGAAGGGAAAGGAGGAGGCCCCAGTTGTCATAGCAGCACCGGGAGGTGGGGTTCGGTTGCCAAAGCAGCGAATAAGGTAAGGCTCGGTTGCCATGGCAGAAAGAAAGACTGTTTTGTTTTGGGTGGAGCTGTAATTAGGGCAGCGAGGGGTGTTCCAGGTATAGAGGCCTCATACAGAGTGGAAAAAGACTGGGCTTTGATTGCTGAGCTCTCTGGCTAGTTTTTCAAGCTGATGCCCCAGGGATAACTCTTAGAAATATGGGGAATATAGAATTCTGACGTCTCTTTCTTCCAGGCGTTTGAATAGTATCTGCTCCCATTTTTGGAATATCTGCAATTTGCACACCTCTTCTGCGGGAGGAGGTGGACCTGTTATATATCTTCCCCCTCCTCCAATGGAGGAACCTGAGGAAACCCACAGGCGCGTGCAAAAAAGGGGAATCTCTCTCTGACGTATTATAATGATCACCTCAGGGGAATTAACTAAATTCTGCTCTTCGATAAGGCAAAGCAAACGATTGGGAGCTTTATTTTAGTTTTGATTTCCAAGGTAAAGAAGGAGAATTTCAACCAAGACAGGGAAATATGTAAAATAGTCTGTGATCAAGAGTTTACATAAGTATGCACTTCGCTAGAAAAAAAAAGTAATTTTGATTTTTTTTCAAAAAAACAAAACAAAACCCTATTTAATAGACTTTATCCCATATTTCTTAAGTTGACCTGTATGTGTTGGTCAATTCCTCAGCATGATACAAAAAGCAGGTCAATAGGGACAAGCATGATCAAATAATACTTTAAAAAAGAGTCTGCTGAATGTTCACTGCTTGTGATTCTTTACACATCAACACTTCCTTTCTGTGATACGTGCAAGTTCTTACAGAGCAGTTTTAGAACTCTTGGAGGAAGTCATAAGTTTTTTTTTGTTTAAATCAGTAGCCAAACCAGAGACTTATTAATTGCTCAAGGACCATATTTACTCTTTGCCTGGCCTTGGGTTATAGTGAAACATTTTTGAGCTTGGAAAATCCTGATTCAGTTGATTGTTAGAGCTATTTTAAAGTCAACAAATAATTACCAGAGAAAAAGGATTAAATAAGATACCAGTTTCTGAGCATATATCAAATGCAACACTCAGACTGAAGAATATTTAATGGCCCAATTAATATTAACTGAGAGCCAGTTTGGTATACTGGTTAAGGCACCAGACTAGAAATTGGGAGACCATGAGTAGTAGTCCACCATAGGCATGAAGCCCACTCAGTGACTTTGGGCCAGTCGCTCTCTCTCAGTCTTAGGAATAAAGAAATAGGAAACAAAATCCTAAAATTTTGCCAGGAAAACTGCAGGGACTTGTCCGGGCAGTTGCCAGGAGTCAAGACTGACTCAGGTGTATGTGTATGTGTATGTCTATAAGTACGCAAAGTTGTCACATAAACTAAAATTTGTTCTAGGACAGTCAGAAAGCTATTGTCAGAAAGCAACTAGGCATTGAAAAACTCATCTATGAAATGCATAACATTTTTAAGATCCCAGACATCTTAAAAATCAGAGTTAAAAACAATATTATAGTTTTTAGCTACCGCGTATGCATAACTATCTTTCTGTGTATCCTGCTTTCTGCCTATGTTAGGTAAAACTATAATCTTCTACCAAGCAGTATAAACTGGATCAACAATAAAAACTTTCCTCATCCAGATTGTATGTAGACCATTTGGTATGCTATAGAGCACAGTGTTAAAAGTCATAAGGTTATTTTTTCTTCTATTATTACATTGCTGAAACCACACAACCATTCTGTTAAAATTCCAGTCTTTGGAATAGCTATCATTTCAGAATTAATAAACTTCCAGATCCCAAGATATTTTAGAATGAGATACTGAAAAGGGTAAATAAAGCATGTGGCAAATAATATTAACTAATAAAAATTGGACTTCTGTGTTTGTAGAACTGAGTCATTCTATTTTAATTGGAGCTGACATCACTATTTCTGTCTTCTAGACATATAGGGAAATTTCTTCAGACGTGTTAGGGAACACCCAAGCACAGGTAATTCCCCAAATGAACATTATGAACCACTGTTGAAAATATATTAATATTATATTTTTAATTAATTGATGTTATATCCATATTGCTTCTCCTCCCAGTGAAGCTCAGAACAGTTAACAAGAGAAAGAAAATATAAAGAAAATTGTAATATTATATGCTTTGCTGTAGGCATGTGCATCACATTCAGATGAATCCCAAGACAAACCAGGTTAGTTCAGACTTCAGGAGATGTCCACATCAATGCAGATGAGTGTATTTGTTTGTTTGCTTATTTGTTTCAAACAGCTTGAATTCTGATGAGGTCTCCCAAGGGAACTTAGCGTATTGGAATTCAGAAGCATCCAGAAATACTGATAGATGTATCTCTAAGCACACATTAAAAAAAGGGGTGGGGGTTCAGTCATGTGGTTGTATCCACCATCTTGACTTTCTTCAGCCCCATTCTACTCTCAGCATTCACTGGCAATCACAGTGAATGGTTTGACCAACATTCTCTACTCACGGGGTGGTTTTGGACAGGATTGTTCCAGCATTTAGTACTCTCTGTGAGTCCATTCGCCCAAGAGCAATAAGCTGTATATAATGGAGATTCAGGTTTTTAAGTAAGATTCAGCCCGAAGTTGAAACAGATGATCCCTAAATCAGTCAAAAGTTTTCCAAATTACAACATAGACCGAATCTCTATCATTCCCATTTTATGATACAAAATAAAAGGGAATAAATATAAACTGATAGGAAATGAATTAATTTATAGATTTTGAGGTAATAGCCTTGGTCTAATTTAAAAATTCTTCTCAATTTATACTTTTTGAACTCTGTTACAAACATTTTTCCGGGATAATGTAATTATTTGCCTGTTTCATATGGCTGGAAAATAATTACAGGGTTCCTGCAGTACAAGTAACTGATAATAGATATACATTTCTGCATCAGAGTCTTCCTCTTAATGGATGGGTAACAATCTTATGTCTCCAGAAACTTTGGACTTTGGTTCCTATTGTCTTCAGCTAGAATGGTCAGTGACAGTGGGAATTATAATCCAAAACTTCTGGAGGATTCCAAGTTATTTAACCTTAGATAAGGGATGATACTTATTTCCATGCTACTGAAGGCTTCATCTTAAGATGGCCAAGATGCTTTTAAAAGCATAGAAGCAAGCCTATATTTTTTTTTACTGTGTATCAACTCAGTTGGCTACTTTGTTTTCTCACTGTTCTAAATTATAGGATATTATTAAGTAATGCTAATTAAATAAAGGCATCCTTTATTCAAGATCAACTCCTAGTGACTACATCCATGCAAATCTTTTGGCAGCATTATTACTTACATTTTATCACTAAGTAAAACTTGCTACATATGATATTCCAAATTATTTGAGGAAGTTTGTGTGTTTTGAAACTTTCCTTATTTCGGTTGGTACATCATTTTCCCATAGGGCAAGGAGGTACAGTGGCTTATCTATGTAGCGTATGAGTGTTGTTTGGTGTTGTGCAGCCTTCTATCATGTTCATCTTGCCCATTAGTGGTTTAAGAATGTTCTGAAGTGGAGAAGGGGAAGTGATTTGGATGACGCACAATATCATTGTATCTTCTTGTGTAATAGCCAGTCTTGTTTCTAAACTTGCCCAACATTTGGCAAAATCCAAACAAAACTGAGTATTTTGCTAGTTCATCAAGGTCAGAGGACAGGGGTGAAATCAGTTCTGGTATAGACATTTTTTTCCCTGCTTAAATATCCTCTACTTCTTATCTAAGCTATCAGAGATATCATGTATCTTTTGAAAAATCGTATATGGTTGTTACTTTTGTAAATATGCAGATGTATTTATTTTAATCTTGTATTTTTCCCTGCAGTCCACAAGTTACTAAGCTTCCTTACCCTCCCCTTCCATATATTATAAGTAGATTATTTTTAAATTTATAATTTTATTAAGAATTTTGATCATAATAGTAAAATCTAATACAAACTAAACTTAAAGAAAGAGAATAGAACAGAAAGAGTAAAAAGTGCAAGGGAAAAGGAAAAAAGAGAGAAGAAAGAGAAAAGTAAGAATAAAATAAAGAGAAAAGAAATATGTAAAGAAGTGACTTCCAATATTCATCACAAGTGTAAACAAATTTACTGACTTTTCATCACCCCCTCTAAGGTTACAATAATCTCTTCATCCCATATCCCATCCCTTCTCTATAGGCAAATTCATAAAGCATCATTTTTTCAGTCCTGTTGTCAGCAGAAAGTCCATAAAGGGTTGCCAGAAGTAACAACATATGTTGTTTTAACCTTGATTAAATAAACGAACTTTATATTCCTTTCTTTTACTTCTAACAGTCTTAATCTTTAGTTCATTCAAATATTGCCATAGGATTTGATTTCTCTTCATTTCTTTTTTATCCCATCACACAGAGTTCTTCAGGTCTTTAACAAGCCTCTTTTGTAAATCCAGTTAAAAAAATGATCCAGATCACTTTCTTGGTTTATCATTTGTATTTCCCTTTTGATTTTTAAAACATCAGCCAGTTTCTTTTGTATATC